CCCTCAGCCTCCAGCTGAGAAAACTGGGCTCAGAGACGCCTGAGGGACTGGGCTGCACAGGGGGCTGAGGCACTGTTAGGGCGAGAAGGTGAGTCTCTCTGGACTCCAGGTGTAGTGGCTGCACGGCCTGCCTACACCCTGCAACTGGCCCCCTCTTTTCTGGAAAGCCAGCCTGAGGTCTTACATATCTTTCTCATTGTCGGCTTCTAGTCCCTTCTTCCTTGTGGCCTATTTCCGTACCATCAGCTCCCTATGCAGAGAGGTTCTGAGGCCTCCTGGGTGCCTCATCCTGAGCTGAGCAATATTGGGTAAACAGATATGAATCAGCCCACAGGGAGCTCCCAGACTAGTGCAGGAGACAAATAGGGCACAGACAGTTCCAGCCGGGAGGGATCAAAGGGATCAGAGGGAGGCAGAGAGGCTATGGGAGAACTCTGCCTGGAAAAGGTAGGGAGGGCTTCCTGGAGGAGGAGACATTTGCACTGGAAATTGATGTATGAACAGTAGCACACTAGGGGCAGATAGAATCACCTCATTCATTTACATTCACTCGCCCATTTACATATGTGTCCTGAGGCCTTGCGTGGGCTGATTATCTAAGGATGATTTTTTCACTCATTCATTATATATTTGTTTGCACAAGATAATATGATGGTGAAGATTTCAGATCCTGGTTTCCAGTCTTCCTGGATTCCTTCCTTAGTTGTTTTATTGACTGGATGGCCCAGTTACTTAACTGTGCCTCAGTTTTCCCCTTGATAGAAATAAGGACAGCTATAGTATCCTCCTCACAGGATTCTTGGAAGAATAAGTCGAACAGTGCCTGTGAAGGTCCTAGCACACTGCCTCATACATAGTTGACACTTGGTTTCTGCCCTTAGCTTAGACTGAAGCCCCTCTCAGAGACCCTATGTACAAGAAGGTGATACTTTATCTAGTTTTCTGAAGTGAACAACAGTCAGAGAAAGGATTTGAAGGATGAGTAGTTTTCCAGCTGAAGCAGCAGGTAAAGCAAAGCACTCCGGGATGAGGAAGCAGCTAGAACGAAGGCTGCGTGTGTGCCTGAAACCATACAGCCTGTTCTAGGAACCCCGGGGCAGAAGGAAAGGGAGTGGCTGTGAGGCTGGTGTTGTGGGCAGGGCCACTAGAGGCCAGGGTACAAACACTGGGTCGGGGGTCTCAGACCTTACCCTGGGGGGGATGGGAAGACAATGCCGAGCGTATGAGCCAATCCTTCAGTTCAAGGATGGGGAAACTGAGGCCCGAGAACAGGGCAGGACCTGGATGGAGATTGCTGAGTAAACGCCTGGCCTCTGAGGTCACATAGATGAGAGTTCAAGTCTGGGCTCAGTCTCTGCTTTGTCTGTTTTAGGTTTGAGCAAATGAATCTTCCCCTCGGAGCCTCAGTCTCCCCACCTGAAAGGTGGAGTCCTCAAGAGGAGTCACCCTGTAAGACTTGGCAGCAAGATCCTGCAGTCCTGGAAGGGTCCGGTTTCCTGGGAGAATGGAGGACCACAGGAGGGAGAGGCATGCGCCTGGGCAGTGAGGGCTGGTTCTGGGAGTGGGTGGATTTGCAAAGCTGAGGGCAGCAAGGGCTGCAGAGGAGGGCGGGGTGGACCACGCAGGTTGAGGGGCCAGGACTCTGGCCAGGGGCACTGGGGAGCCGCAGGAAGCCTGTGAGCAGGGGAAGGCAGGTCAGCTCTGGAGCTGTGTTGGGTAGATCTGGAGGGGAAACTGGCGGTAGGAAGGCTGGCAGGGGGAGGCTGGGCTGAGTCCAGCCGGGTGAGGTGGAGGCCTAAGCTGGGCCAGGGTGACGGGGACAGGGCAGAGAGTACAGAGCACAGGCCCAGAGCGGGGCTGAGAGGTGAGGGAAGGAGGGGCGGGGGAGGTGCCCCAGGGGGAGGCTCTGGGGGGAAGGTGAGGACCTTGGGAAGTTTGGGGGGGACAGCTGTGGGGCTCGTTAACACGGAGGCCTGTAGGTCCCAACAGCACCGTCCAGCCCATGGAGGACCCCTCAGAGACTCGGTGGCCGGCGTTCCCTGCCGCCCTGTGCCTACCCCCTTCTCCCTGGCTGCTCTCTCCTCCTACCTCCTGGCAGCAGCCAGCCACAACCCGGTGACCAGGCTGTGACCCCAACCACCCTCACCGTCCCCCTGCAGCTGGCCCTCCCCCGATGCACTCCGGCTGGCCCCTGGGGGTGCTTCTGCGGCCTGGACCCCAGCTTCTCCTTCCTGACCTTCTCCACCAGCAGCTGCCCACAGGGCACTGACCCCTACGCCTCAGTGCTCCAGCCGCAGGGGCCGGGACCACTGTGCAGCCCCGGAGGTGGTTGTCTGGCTCTTTCTTCTGGTCCTGGGCACAGGCCCTGCACACCCTGCAGGGCCAGGCGAGCTGAGCGGCCCTTGCCCGCCGGGGCTCTGCCCCCTGCCTCTCCACCTGGCACTGAGTCAGAGGGTGTCTGGCTTGGGGAGCTGCTTCTTATGGTGTCAGGAAGGCCAGGCTGCAGCTGGCGAGGCTCCTGGGGAGGCCCCAGCTGCTGGGGGGCTGCGGGCCGCGGGGGCCATGGTGTGTGTGCTGTTACCCTTCCACCTGCTGCTGCTGCTGAGGCTGGTGGGGACGTGGGAGGCTGGGCTGGCCATGGTGAGGATTTGGGTGCTGCCCAGACCCCTGGGGCTCACCCTGGTGGGGGCCAGTGGCTGCTCGCAGGGACCAGGCCTTTGGGCAGTGGCTGTGCCAGGCCCTCTGGTCCTGCCAAGAGGGAGGGTCTGAGTTGGAGATGGGTGGGAGGCCCAACCGTCCATTGAGGATGTGAAGGGAAATCCTGAGGGTCTGGGGACAGTGCAGGGAGGGAGGGGGAGCAGGGAGGGAAGGACAGGGGGATCTCCCATCTTCTCAAACTCTGGAGACAGTGCCCCCAGAAATGAATAGCAGAGTGGGGAGGCAGGACTAGGGAGGTGTAGAAAAGGACAGGAACCCAGAGGTGGGGGGGGACAGGGACCCAGAGAGAGGGGGACAGGGACCCAGAGGTGGGGGGTACAGGGACCCAGAGAGAAAGCAGCAAAGTGGAAGAAGAGAGCCTTGGAGGGGATAAAGGGTGCGCAGATGTGCTAGGACCACACAGCCGTGGGTGCGGATGGGAGCCGAGGCAGGGAGGCGGTGAGAGACTGGCGAGGCTGCTGGGGGCACCCAGTGGGAGACAGACAGAAAAAGATCTGGAGACAAAGGCCCAGCTAGAGAGAGGGACTTGGAGAGTTCCTGTGAGGGGAGCTGCGGCCTCAGCTGCAGGGGAGGAGGCTGCGGGGGAGGAGACAGATGGACGACAGGAAGACACACAGACTCACAGGGGACAGTCTGGACGTCCTCAGAGACATGGGCCTTGGTGGAAAGACAGGAATACAGACACGGCCCAGGAATGTGCAGTGAGTGTGACAGCAATTCCAGGGATGGGGGACTTTCAGGGCTAAACCAGGAAAGCGCCGCGCAGACAGGACTGTCCTGCAGGTGGGAGTGACACAGACAGCACCGGGCCACTGCTGCCGCTGGAAGAGCACATGCCCCCCACCCCCCAGCCCTCTGGAGCCCCTGCCTGGGAAGCAGCGTTGCTGGCTCTCTTCGGTTTCCTAGCTCCCAGGTATTTCCAAACTAAAGGTTCGTTTTTGCTCGGCGTCCTGTGTCTTCTGACGTGTCTGCACAGCTCCCTCGGAAGCGCTGGAAGCGCCAGGGGGAAAATCTATCTCTTCTGTCTTTGGAAAACGCACTGCGGTGACGCCTCCTGACCCGTCTGCGCATTAGAATCTCCGTGGGGAGCTTTTAAAATCCAATCGATGTCCAGGCCCGGTCCCCAGGAGTTGCGGTTTAAGTGGTCCAGGGTAAAGCTGGGCTCTGGGAGTTTCAAACACCCCCCAGGGATTCCCATGGGCTGCGGGCTGAGCCCCATCCATCTCCAAGTTGTGAAATGCGACCCTGATAGCTCCCAGGGGACCGAGAAACTCAGTGGGGGAAAACCCTGGGTAGGGGGGCAACCATGCAAAGAGAGATTCCGTCGTCGGTATTTGTTTCTTTTACAAACACTGACAGCCAAGACCCAGGCTGCGGGTCCGTTAGGAGTCAGGGCCTGTTCTGTGCATCCCCTGCCCCCCAAGCTCCCAGTCAGAGCCGCCAAGATGGGAGGGGAGAGTAAGGAGGGATGGGTGGGGGGCGGGCGGGCAGCCTCACCCTGATTGGACGGGCTTCTTAGGATGCCTTCGGGGGGAGCCGACGCAAAGCAGAGGAGAGGACTCTGCAGGCAAGGCACAGAGCGTGAGCAAAGGCACTGGGGTGGGGCATTTTTACCACCTGTTATGGGCGGTTAAGGATACCCCGAGGAGGGGATTTAAGAGGTAAGTGAGGTTTAAAAAAAAGAAAAGACAGGAAGGCGTCCTGCCACACACAGACCCTGGTGCTGGCTGTGGGGCTGGGGCTCTTGCTGCGGGGCTCTGGGGAGCAGTGGGAGGGCCGTGGGCAGGGAGGGAGTAGAAGACCCCTGTGGGGACCGGACGAGAGAGAGTGCGGGGTGAAGGTCCAGGTAAGAGGAAGTCCTGGCCAGCGGGGAAGCAGCAGCAGGGATGGCTCCCTGCCCAGCTTTCAGAATTAGCGTTTGGGGGAAATCAACTTCCCTCCTGGGGCCGGGCCACGAACTTCTGGCTGCGAAAATAGTCCAACGCCGCCCCCATGTGGTTGTTCTGAGTTTTGCGCTCAAGGCCTCCTACAAATAAATGATTACGCTTTTGAGAATTAGAGGGCGCCATCACCAGTTATGCTGGAACAAGCGGCCCGAACCGTCTGTAATCCGTGAGCTAAAGTTACACGGCGACTGCAAGTCCGTTCCTAATTGGAATTTGCCGGGCCTTTCCTGGGAAACCCAGGATGTTCGGTCACTCCACTCGGAAGCCACCTTTTCAGATCTTGAAAGTGTTTATCAGATGAGAAAGTGGATGAAGGTCAACCCAAGGGCATTCTACCTTCTGGGGAAGGGGGCAGGGAGAGGGGAGGAGGCGGTTAGTGAGGGAGCTAGTAACAGACTCTGGAGATCTGGACACATCCATGGGAAGGGGCATTGACAATTGGTACTGAAGGTTGAATAGGAGTTTGGTGAGAGTAAGATGGGAAGGATGAAGATGATAACTACAGACCCTTTGCAGCTTACAAATTCCATTCACATCTTTGATCTCAGGCCACCCTTGTGGCCTTCTGGGGCCATCAGACAAAGATTTCATCTTTGTCTTGTCTGACTGACAAGAAAACCAGGGCTCAGAGACAAGAAACAGATCTGAAGTCCGTAGCTGTCTGTGTTGGTACCAGGTGAATCAGTTCTGCTCTTCCTTCCCTCTGTGCTCTTGCATACAAAGTTGAAATGTCCTTCCCCACTCTCTAAATGCTCCTGACAGACTCTTATTCATCCCTCAAAACCCAGTTCAGATTCTGGGCTCTTAGCCTCAGATCTGAAGTCCGGGTCTCCAGTTCCCTCCTTCCTCAGCCCCAGGAGGCCAGGTCCCTCCCCCACCACACCCCCTGGCCCAAAGAGCTGGCCCTCAACCCCAGAGCTGCCCAGTCTGTATGCCTCCGCCAGGGTGGTGGGATGAAGCGGATGTGCTGATTCAGTCACATTTATTCGGTCTCAGAAGCCAGAGTCATGGTCTGAGGCAGACGCAAAGCTCTTAGATTAGGCGCGTCCTGGGTCTTCTCATTGTTGAGCCTAGGAGAAGGAGAGAAAGAGATTCACAGAGACATGGGAGAGAAACAGAGACAATAAAACGGGAGCCAAAGAGACAGGGACCCAGACTGCCACCTCTGCCCTCTTCCCACTCACCTTGTTGAAGAAATAGATGGAGGCGACGATGGTAAACATGGCAATGGCCAGAGTTACATTCTGTGGAGAGGGGGCAGAGGTCAGGGTCTGTCCCTGCACCTCCAGCCCCTCCCAGGCCTCCCTGCCCCTGCTGGACCCTTCTCACTTCCTGCGAGTTTGGAGCCATGGTGCTTCAGCCGCTCAGCTGCTTGGCCTCCTCTCTCTACCTCGCCTGGGCCTCTGAGACAGCCGCGCTCGGTCCCGGAACCTGAGAGGGGGGTCGTCAGGGAGACCAGAATGGTGGCCCTGGTGATGGGAGAAGGGCATTCTGGGTAGAGGGCACATAGGGGCAGAGCGGGATTTGGGTGCAGAATGTCACATGCAGTATCTGAACTTGGGAAGGGGACATGTGAAATCAGAGAGTCAAGACTTCCAGCGCAGCCCTGGGGAGTTTGTTTCGCGCTCCCCGCAGAGTGCCGGAGGGCTATGGGAGGGCTGCGAGGGCAGGGGGCAGGGGGCAGCTCTGGAACATCTCAGAGCAGCAGGAGGCTGGGGGCCGGGAGGGCAGGGGAGGCGGCCCAGGCAAGGTTTCCTCCAGCAGAGGCTGCCGGACACGAGGTTGAGGGGCGCAGCAGAGGCTGGACTGGCCACCCCAGTGCCCAGCCACCTGCGTGGGGTGGGAGCGTCAGTCATCACAGTAGAAACGTGGGGGCAGAGGCAGCGGCTTCTCCACGTCCAGTGCCGGGCCCGTGACTCCCACAGCCCACCCACCATCCCTGCCTGACTGCCAGCCCTCCTGCCAGTTTTGTAGACACCTAACTGCCTTTGTTTTTGGCCACCACACCTTTAGAGCTAACTTCCAGGTTACCAGAAATATAGAGGCTAGAGAAAAAGTGAACCTTCAGTACCTGCGGACCCCATCTTTTTGAACTCACCGCCTTGCTAGAACTTATTTGTAATCCCCAAATGAATACGCCCGGCGCTCTCGCGGTCATTCACGGACAGGTGGCTAAAATCCTGAGTCACTGGCTGTGCACGTCGGACAAGGGGACTGCTCCCTCGTTTCGGCTCTGAAGCTGGGCCGCCCAGGGCACGAAGCTGGGAGGGGTGCTTCCATGCAGGGGGGGACTCCCACTCTGGGGCCAGCTGCACGAGGTGGAAGCCCAATTCCCACACCTGTCAGTGGGGTGGTGGCCTCAGGCAAATTTTCGACTTTGTGAAATGAAGAAATAGAATCTCCCAGGATGAGCAGATGTTAGGATTTAAGACTATAATCTGTGTGACAGGCTTGTATTTCCCCTAGAAGCAATGATTCAGAATTTGCTGATTAAGTGTTCCTGCTAACTTTATTAACTACCGGGAATGACAAGAATCGGCTGTAAAATCTATACCTTAGGTCACCGACCAGAAAATTCCAGAAGGCAAGACATTCAACAGGGCAACTGGCTTGGTCTCTGCAGCAAGCCCATGTCACAAGACCAAACAGAGGCAAGTGCACTGGCTTTATTTTTAAAAATCTGTGAGAGACATATGACCAGATTTGGTGAGCAATCCTGAACGGGGTTCTAGTTTGGACAAATCAGCTGGAAAGGATATCTGGGGGGAACTCGGGGACATTTGAATGGAGAGGGGGTATTAGGTGAGATGGAAGTGTTACAGACATGGAAAGGAGGAGATTGCTACAAAATTGCACGTCTCCTGTATCTCCTTGTGGCAAAAAGTATGTGTATGGAAAAATGAACATTAGGAAATCTGGAAGGCTGTTCCTTCTCAGTGTCACAGCAGAAAGCAGGGGACACAGCTCAAAAGGGGTTAACCAGAGAGAAGTTTAATGCAGGGACCACATTCAGAGGTGATAGGCTGGGGCTTAGCAAAGTTGGGAAGCTGCTATCACCCTGACTTGAGTCCCTAAAAGATCTATTCAAGTCCTCGGCCCTGGGACCTGTGACTGTGACTTTATTTGGACATAGTGTCTTTGCAAATGTAATCAAGTTAAGATGAGGTCATAGCTCGTGTCCTTACAAAAGAAGAGACCCAGAAACAGACACACAGGCTGAAGGCCACGTGGTGATGGAGGCAGAGACCGGAGTAATAGGTTGACAAGCCAAGGAACGCCCAGGATGGCCACGCCACCAGAAGCCCGGGGAGAGGCTGTGAACAGACCCTTCCTCGCAGCCTCAGAAGGACCCAACCCTGCTGACACCTTGATTTCCGACTTCTTGCCTCCAAAACTGTGAGAGAATAAATTTCTGGTGTCTAAGCTACCCAGCTGGTGGTGATTTGCTATGGCAGAGCTAGCAATCACACCCTCGCAGGCATTCAGGGCCCTAGAGGGATCCATGTCACCTGAACCCTAAGAGGCAGGGGCCCCCAGTGGGAGCCACGCTATAGCCACCACCTCTCACCCTCGGGAGTTCTGCTTCCCTCACTGGCCGATCCCAACTGGAATCTGGAAGACGGGGCCAGAACGGAGCTGAGGGCAGAGGCCTACCTCCAGGGCACAGAGCAGGATGGAGGACTGAAAGTGGGTTGGAGGGGTGGGGCGGGCCAACGGGGGAAGAGCCAGGGGGTCCCCCTGGCATGCGCTTGGGCGGAAGGCTGAGCAGGGGCCTCCAGTCCCCGGAGCCTGTGAATCCACTCCCTCACGGGGCTAAAGAGCCTTCGCAGGGGTGATCACCTTCAGCACGTGGAGGTGGAGTCTTAGTCAGCTCCAGCTGCTAGGACACTATCACGCATGTGGAGGCTTGTAAACAACCCAAATTTACTTGTCACAGTTCTGGAGTTTGGACGTCCAAGATCAAGGCACTGGCAGATTTGGTGTCTGGTGAAGGCCCGCTTCCCGGTTCACAGATGTTTGTCTTCTCACTATGTCCTTGCACGGTGGAAGGGGCTGGTGAGTTCTCTGGGGTCTCTTTTATAAAGGTTATAAACGCACTTGGCCTCACACTGCGAAGATGTGCAAGCAGCGCCATGGCGAGGAGCTGAGGCTTCCTGCCCGCAGCCATGTCAGTGAGCTTCTGTGTCACTCTACCAGCCCCCGTCAAGGGCTGTTCTGCAACTTCCGACCCTGAGCCAGAACCACCCTGCCGAGCCACTCCCAAATTCCTGATGCACACAGACTGTGAAAAAATAAGTGGCTACTGTCTTAAGCCACTGAGTGTTTAGGTGATTTATCACACAGCAGTAAGTCATTAACATTGTGCAGCAGGATTCTGCAGAAACCTTGCCGTGATTGCTGAGGGTATTTGCGCTCATTAACCGGCAGGGAGATGGTACAGATTGCGCCTGCTCCCATTTGACGAATGAGGAGTCAAGAGGCAGACAGGTGCAGTGACTTGCTCAAACTCACTGGGAAGTGGCGAGGTTAGGGTTGGGTGTTCAACCACTGGACCCCCCATGCCAGAAGAAGGTGTAATCTCTAAGAAGCCCAAGAGAGCCTCAACACTTAAGAGGTGAAGAAAAGGGCAGACTGGGGGGTGGGAGGGAGGAGAGAGCACAGCATGTGTCTACAACATAGGGCAGGGGTCTCTCTCCCTCTGAGCCCAGGGAAGGGCACCCGGGTTTAAATCCCAGCTTTGTCGCTAGCTGTGTTCCCTCAGGCAGATTACTTAGCCCTTCTGTGCCTCAGTTTCTCCATTTGCACAAGGGGATGGTAGTAATTCTCTCAGTCCCTTCTGGGGTTACAGTCAAGATTAAATGGGTAGACCCACCACTTAATCCAAGGCTGGCAAAGGCCCAGGGGAGCTGGAGGCCACCGTGGCTCCTGGGGGAGGCGAGCTGGGACCTGCCCTTCTGGGGGTGCCGGATAATGAACGGGTGGGGCTGCGGCAGAGACAGCAGGCTGAGCTCAGGGTCTGGGCTGTGTGGCAATGACTGGGCTTGGGTTCCAGGGCCTCCCCTGGGCCGCTCCTCTTCCCGTTGCTGCTCCAGCCCTGACGGAAGGCCCCTGGTGTTCATGGCTGTGGTGAGGTGTCCTCCCTCCAGCCTCGCCCCTCACATGGTTCTGTCCCTAGGTATTCCACCATGGCGACCAGGGTGACAAGCTGGGGAGGGGCGCATGGGGAGGGGTCTGCAGAGGGTCAGGTCTGCTCTATCCTCAGGAGCTCGTCCGCCTGCAGCTGAACAGCTTCCTGAGGAGCCCCTCCCAGACCTCTCTGAGCCTGGAGTACCAGAGGGAGGAGGCAGTGCCCTGCTGACCCTTCCTGGCCTTCTGACCCACCTCTGACCTCTACTGATTTCAGTGCTCCCTTGGCCTCCACCTCTAACCTTTGACCACCATCAATCTGACCTGTACCCTACCCTACCTAACCCCCATCAACCTGACGTGATCTCTGACCTCCAACTAACCCATCTCAACCTGAGTCACATCTTGACCTCTATCAATTGACTTTATTCTCTGACTCCCACAGACTCCAACCAGACCTTCTGACTGTCGACCTTTAACTCCAAAACTTGATCGATTTTTCTGTTGAATCCGAAACTACCTTGATTGGACTTGCTCTCTTGACTGCCAACCTTTGCCCTCTACTCTTCATCAAATCTGACTTTCTTTTCCCATCTCCTGCTCTATCTTCTAACATTCCCCAATTAGGCTCATTCCTCCTGACCTCTGATCCCTGATGGACATGTACTGAACTCTGACCCCACGTCCTCCAGTTTGCCCTCCTAATCTTTACTTCCAATTTCCAGCCACCAGCGATTCTGCTCCTCCTGACTTCCACTGACTCAACTGACCCCCTTAATCCTACGTTCCCACCCAACTTCTGATCCCCAACCCCACAGCTCCTGACATTGACCTCTGACCCTTGAGCCCAACTTCCAACATTGAAGGCGGGACAAGGCGGGACACTAGAACCTGCCCTAAGTCTTGACTCCCAACACCTGACCTTGGACCTGAACTGAATCCCGTTGTGGTTTAGCGCTGCAGCTGACCTCTGATCCCGGCTGTGTTGCCCAGCCCGCGCTCGCCCCACACCAGGTGCATGTTCGCAGCCGACTTTGGCCGGATGCTGGAGGGCGCTCAGTCCGACCTGGCTAGTCTGGTTCCCCGAGGCCGCTTGGAGACGCAGCCCTGTGCACACCGCGCTGGTCAGGGAGGACAAGGTCAGAGGGCCGGACAGCGCGGGGGTGGGGGTGGGAGGGCCGGAGACAGAGACCCAGAGACTGGGCGGGCCCGCTCCAGCATGCTGGGCGCCCCCTGGAAGCCTGTGCCTTCCCCTGGGCGGAGCTGTCCAGGCGGGGTGGGCCGGCCCCCCAGCGCTGCGCAGCCAGACCTGGGAGACCGTGGACCAGAGACAAGAGGCCCGCCTCCCTGCCCACTGTGAGGCCCTCAGTCACCCCCAGCTGCTGAGGGAGGCCACCGAGGCTACGGAGTACAAGGCGGGCCTGAAGGCCTGGACGGTGTGGGTGCCACGGCGGGACCGGGCAGGCAGGAGGGGCGTGGCCACCGTGGCAGTGGGCGGGGCCGACGGGGAGGAGCCGCAGGTGGAGGTCGGGGGAGACTTCCCGACTTAGGGGAATAATTTTACGGGCCCGGCGCTGGTCTGGGAGCCGCTCCGCAGAGCGGGGAAGGTTCTGGACACCCTCATGCGCCAGGTAAACCCTCGCGCCACCCACCCAGTCAGGTGGTTAAGGGCACCTGCATTCGAACCCCAGCTTTGCTGCTCATGTGTTTCCTCAGACAGGTCACTTAACCTTTAGAGCCCCAGTTTCCCCATCTACAGAGCGTGGACGGTGACACCTGGAACCTGAGGTTGCCGTGAAGGCTGAAACCACGTAATCCACGCGACGTGCTTACAACAGCGGCCGACAGAGGCACCCCCGAGATTCGAGGATACATGCTTGCTCCCCCTATGCAGTTCCGTTATCGGAAAACGCCCGAAACCGCAACTTGGGCAGCAGGAGCTGACCTGAACGCGTGGTCCTTTGCATCAGCTTTCCTTACCGCATTTCCTGGGCATGTTCCTGTGGGGAAAATTGCAGTATTCCCAGAATATCCGGCCTGGCTTCCGTGTGTCTGCATACCCTCAGGGGTGGAGCTCACCTCCATGACGGAGGGCTTACCTGAACCTGAGGTGGGGACGGGTGGTCTGGCCCCCGCGGGAGCAGGAGAGGCGCCCGGGCTGCAGCTTATAAGCAATAAACGGACTTTAAACTTTACTTCTCCCTCGGACTGATTTTGGTTTGAGACATTTTGCCCCAGGATTTCCTGTCCCCAGATTTACAGCTAATTGCACGGTGCAAACAGCAACGTGTAGGATTAAGGGGGCTACCCCAGACACCACTGGCTATGTTCCGAGGCACGATATGGTATTGGCACCATGGGACCCTCTAAAAGCGAAAATATCTTAATTCTGAAACACCTCTGGGCCCAAGGGTTTCAGAAAGGCTTCAGCCCTGTGAATGGTCATTACTATTACTGGTATTTCCCACACCAACTTCCTGGCCAGACCCCGCCCATGAGGGAGTCGGCTGACGGGAGGACTGCGGCTAATCAGGGACAACACCGGCCCCGGAGGGCCTGCGGGAAGGTGAAGAGCTCAGAATGTGTCACTTCGTTCTCTTCCCGTCTCTCCACAGCAGGCCTTCCTCCCCTCCCATCCTGGCCTCCCCCAAACGCCCTACAGACGCTAGCCCAGATCTCAGCTTTGGATATTAAGGCTCATGTGGGCCCATCCCGGGCAGCAGAGGCCCAGCCGAGGGGGTGAGGAGAGGCGCGGGGCCGGGAGGCTTCCTCTGGGTTCCAGCCCTGGTCTTGCCTGCTGGATGCCATCCTTCCCAACTTCTCAAGTCTAGCACCTGGGGCTGCCCCTCAAGATGGTCACCTACTCAGCTGAGTCCTTGGAAGGCAGGCGGTGCCACGTGGCACAGGGATGAGGGGGATGGCGATTTGGGTTAAGGAAAAGCTGGTGGTCTCAGTGGGACTTCAGCCCGCTGCCCTGGGTAATTCCTATCACCAACCTACCTTCAGGCCCTATCACCAGAGGTATACTCGAGGAGGAAGGTGATGGTGTGGAGGAATTTAGCCCTTCTAGGACAGGCTGCCTGAGCTCATCATGTTTTGCATATATTTGATTGATCTTTTTTAAATGACTACCTATACTGGTGGGACTGGGACTTCGAGGGTGAGCAGCTTCGGTGCGTTTGTGCGTGGTTCTAAGGAGCGGGGAGACTGCCAGATGCACAAGTCTGGAGGCCAGGAGATGAGCCGTCTCTCTGCCCACAGCATGACAGCACTACCAGCCCGCCTGGGGGTCCGGGTCTCTATGATGGGCACACCCCACCATATGCCACCTGCCTCAGCAACTCAGATGAAGACGCAGGGGAGGTGGGGGCAGCCCCCGGGACAGGGGGGATGCAACTCTCCAGAGCGACGGACAGTGGCCGTGGCCCGGGATGGATCAGGCCGCCAGGTAGGAGCCAGGAGCCCGGTTTCTCCACTCAGCTGCTCTCTGGACTTCAGGTCAGTGGCACTAAGTCAAGGCCTGGGTGTCACTTGTCTGCTCTCGCCCTCCAGGAATGTCACAATCTCCCTCTTCTACTGCAATGACTGCACCGGCCTGCCTCTGCCCCTCAGCCTCCCTGGGTGGCCAGACCCCTGCCCACTAGGCCACTTCTGCCGGCTGACTGCCCTGCCCGGTCTCCAGCTCGTGGGGTGCCCTGCTACGACTCCCATGAGTTTGCAATCCCTGCAGGTGGTGGCCTGGTCTGGGGAAGCAGCTGAGGTCCTGAAACTCACACCGGTGTTCTCCCAGCCACCGTCCTGCCCCCGCTGGCTTGGGGCTGCGGGTATGCCTGCAGCGCTCAGTGTGGGGCTTACGAACTGGAGACCTGGCTGCCTGCCGGCCTGGGGAGGGCCTATGTGAGCTGAGAAACTGGGTACCCCCTTTCCCATAGCTGACACCGGACCCCACGTCTGCTCACCCACTGCTCTGGCCTCTGTGACTCACTGTGGCCACCTGGGCAACACGGAGAGGGATTCTCACCGGGCTGCTACAAGTGGTTGTGTGCAGTGTGTACATGTGTCACATATATGTACGTGTGTGGCTTGTGAGCAGACACGTGAATGTTTCTGCACTTATGTGTGGGCCTGCAGGGCATTGGTACATACGTGAGCCCACATGACATCCCTGTGGACACGTGCACATGCTATGCAGTCTGTGCATGTGGGCACATACCTGTAGGTGTGCCTACACATGTGCTGACACAGGTATTTGTACTTATGCACATGTCTAGAGATGCCCGTGGAGAGATGGGGCCCCTGTCTGCTGTGCATGACCCCTGCCCGTCCTGAGAGGGTTCTGGATTCAGCTCCACACCCGTCCACAAGTGGCAATGCGAGGCTATTGAGTAAGTGCCTGTGTGCCAGCACCCCTTTGTCATGGCTGCTGTCCTCACAGGTGACTCCTGGCCCTGAAACCCTTAGCCCAGACGTGATAGACACTGGCCAGAGGCCACACATGCAGCTAGGAAACCACATAGGCCCAGCTGCCCTCTCCCTGGGCGAACAAACGGCAAGTCTGCTTTAAAAGCGAAAGGCACTGAAAAAAGTCTGAGAAAAACCATTACAAGAGAAACGAAGGTTCCTAAACCAGTCTTGTATATGCTGCAAGTATTAAGTAAGAACATTGTATTTCAAAAACTGTTAAGAGAAAGGGTACAAACTTTATGATGCATTCATGTCACGGGCTATGCGGTCCTCCCCATTTGGCCTGTAGTGCTTTGGGGTCCATGGAGCAGAGGAATGGGTGCCCACCCACCATGTCAACTGGGCTGAATTGTAAGACTGAAACCTAACAGGCTGTGCCCAGGTGCTCCCACTCCAGGGGAGGCGCTGCACCCAGCTGCCTGCACCGGCTGATAGGTGATGCCCATGGGGTGGTGAGGGCAAGGACACCCCTCTTCTGGGCTCCTCAAACATGGCGTCAGGGGCGGCTTGCCAACAGGAGGCGGAGCTCTGGACTGGGCCGTGCGTACCCTCCCCGGGGGTGGTTCAGAGAGCACTGCATGGGGCCTCATCACCCTGACATGTCCCTGTGGGCTCCCCTGGACTTACGCTTCCGGCCCTGCGCCAAGTGCCATGGAAAGGCCTGGCTGGCACACGAGCAGCTCCTCCCTGCAAGTCCGGTCAGAGGAGGGGTGCTGAGGGATGCTCCTTCCCCAGCACGCAAGCTAGGGGGGCTCCAGCTGCACTTGGCCTCTTTGATGTGCAGCTGCCGGAGGACCGTGGGGGGCTGCTTGGCCACCGTCCCCTTGGGCACTGTGGTTCTAATGTCAGCTCGTGCGGGGGCCACTGCCACAGGAGCTGCAAGGGACACAGGCATCAGGAGGGGAAACTGCCACATTCTCCCTCCCCTCAAGCACCTCCCCAGCACGGAGGCCCCTCAGATCCCGGGTGTCAAAGGTCCTGGAGAGCACCTTGTCCTCACAGGAGGTCAGAGCCCAGGGCTGGACCTCATGGGGACCCCGTGCATGCACAGCCCTTCGGGGCCCTGACCCTGGGAAGTCTTGCTCTAGCCCCTTCCCCTTCACAAGGACCCTGAAGAGGGAATGAATGTAACGCTTGGTGCCTGGCTGAGTATGTGCCCTGCACCTGCCTTTGTAGTATTAGCATTATTTGCATTTCCTAACTGGAAGTTTAATATGATCGTTGCTACTAATAATTAAGAGGGAGACCCTTCTGTTCTTACCCAGATGGATGGTGGGGCTCTTCACTCCTGGAGGAACCACCTGCAGACAGGAAGGAGTTGGCAAGGAAGAAGAGGTCAGTGGGGTGCAGGGCAACCGTGGACACCCCCCTGCTCCTTGCCCGGAGCACAGCCCCTCAGACCCCTGGGTGTCAAAGGTCCCAGGGGGCACCATGTCCTCATGGGAGGTCAGAGCCCAGTGCTGGACATCATGGGGGTCCGGTGCCCCACCTCCCTCCCCAGTCGGGTCCCAGAGACACTTGCCTACAGTGCAAAGGAGGATGACACAGGTAAGAACTCAAAGATCCAGGCAGGACAAATGGCCAATACCTGGTCCCTCGGGTGCCAAGTACCCACTGCTTGCTTTCTGACACCCCCCCCCCCCC